AATATTTAAGAAATACTTGCTTTTGATCTGAAATATTTGGCAAACATATAAATATTTCCTAAATATGTATGTAATATTTTGTGCTATCTGGGTCATAAATGGTCAAGCCACGATGAAAGTCTTTATTAATAAATACTACCACACAGCGCTAAGACTAAAATATCCAGTCATGATTTACGCAAATTTCGGTGCCAAAGCGGCAACTTTAGCGATGTATTGCTCTTTGGCTTGATCAGATGAAACTCCTTTTTTGCTGCTCCAGGCGTTCCACTTGGCTACAGCTTCAGCACCACTCGGCTTAGCTACAACAAAGAACCACACTTTAGTTCATCGATTTAAGCCAATTTTAAGTTTTTAGGTGATATTGAGCTTGCAGTGGAAAATAAGTTAAGTGTGCTAAATTGACTTGGTTCCGCAAATGGAGAAGAAGCGAGGAAAAAGCTTGCTGTATATTCAGGTAACAAATTTCGAAATTCCCCACTGAGGAATCAATCAATTAAATTATATAATATTTATAGGTACAGATGAAAAAGAAAAACCATAACTTACCGGTGTTGGTATCTCCAACAGTAGCTTGCTTGTAAAGAGCGTACACTTCCAGCATATCCGAGTCGGATGGCCTTTTCGAAAATCCCCTGATTTTATTAGCTGCCACCTCAAAATCCTATAAATATACTTAATAAAATTAAAAAATACGCAGAGTTTTGGAGTTAGGCTTTCCAGACCCTTGCTTGAAACTGGTGAGTTTTTCCGAGAACAAATTCTTTTCGACGCGCCAAAATTGCGAAAAACTCCTAGTTACTTCCAGTGCGTTATACTAGTTTCCATCTTACAGTAAAGAGAAAAATACGGAATTTACTTACTTCGCTCAGACCCATTTTAACGGATTAAATGCACGATAGATCAGCAGTAAATAGAGGTAACTGAATGTAGAGTGAATTGGTGGCCCCATTTTATAGGGCCAGAAAACAGCATTTTCATATCTAAAAACTTTTGACAACATAATTTCGTTTGATGAAGCGGATGAAACTTTAATGCAGCGGAAATCGAAATTTGAAAAATTACTTTATCAAATATTTAGCAGATTCTTGGGGCGTATATCGGTTGAAAAAGTGTGTCCAAAGATCCGGATGAGGAAATGACATGAAATTATTCGTACATATATTTAAATTCCTATGCGAAAACGCTTGATTGTATTGGAGTTGTCATAATAAATTCTCGAGATGTTTTTTGTTCAATGATGGGGCGCAGATCAATGCGTTTGTAGTTTTTACTATAACTTAGAACTTGAAGAAAAACCCTCAGTTATCAGTAAAAACGCGTTTGTCTGTAAACCTACTCCCTAAAATCATCAATTATGTTTCTTAGTAACATAAAAGCTACGGTTGTTATTGAAGCTTTGCTGGTATTAACACTCGAATTTTTTTTATTTACGATTATTTACTGAACGTGAGCACATAACCGATCTAAAATTAACTCCATTTTATAGTGATTGATTGTCTTTTATATCGATTAGACGAGCCCGCCTCACTGCTACTGATGAATTATTGAATTTTTAATAAAATATGTATAATAAAAATACAACCATGTTTTTTATCGTACATAAACATACTCTTTTAAATGATATTTCTATAAATTGATGTTATTTGTTTTTACAAGTTTTTTAAATCAGCATAAACCTTGAATATATGATCATTCCACAGACCAAATCATACGCCTACTTTCGGCGGCGGTCTTTTACCTACATTTAAGGAAAGTTTCTGCATTTTAAATAAGACGAACCGCACTTTACCTGCAAGTTTACGAGAACGTTCACCGGTTTGCGTATAAATAATTAAATAATGCCCAGATGTGCAGAAAATTTTTCCAATTTAAGCACAAGGTTCTTTCAGTACCTACGGGATTTTTCAAACTGTATCAACGATTTCGTCTGGTTGTTCATTTTATCTGTCTGTATGTTTGTTTTTTTGCATTTTATGCATGCGACAAGCTCATTATTGTACATTTTCTTTCCTGGGTTTCAGCCAAAATGTGTGTGTAAACATTTACAATTAAAATATGTTGTACAAAAACTATAATTTACAAAGCCTTAAAGCATTCATTAGTTCTTAAGGAAAAAAAATTACCTGGGAGAGCAAAACATTTGAAAAACTTTCCCATTTTTTGCTCTCCCAGAGAGAATTTGTTTCCTTAAGAACTAATGAATGCTTCAACGCTTTGTAAATTATAGTTTTTGTACAACATATTTTAATCGTAAATCGGTGTTTGTATTTTGTGTTGAACTTTAAATCTGATGATGGCGCTGTTGTCTCGCCGAAACGTTATATCAAAATTTTTATTTCACATTTTGACTGAAACTCAGGATAGAAAAAATGTAACAACAATTACAGGGTGACCCCAAGTTAGGTGGCGTGATCTTGTCTTCACATCCTTGAGCGTTGTAGGCAGATACAAAAATGTATATTTCCTGAACCTTTCGATGTGGAAAGTTGAACTTTTGCCCACACATTACCAACGTTTATGGCTGTTTTATGAGGTTTAAGTTCATTTTTTCCAGCTCCAGTGTCGTGCATTTTGGGGTGGATGGAGAGATTTTGGCTCAGTGACCAAAAGCTCAGATTCCCGGGGTTTTAGAGCAAATTGGCATTTTCGGATGAAGAGCATAGAGTAGGTAAGTAAAACTGTATTTTCTGTATGATGAAGAGCCAGCGTAGGTTTCAATTGCAGATTGCGTCAAACATGTGCTCGGGGCCAAACTTACATTTTTTATGGATATTTTCGAAATACTATTCCATATGTGGAAGTTGATAAAATGGAAAGCCTGTATATAATATGGAATTTAAGCGTGTAGATGTGAACGTTTATGAATCAGGAAAATCATCGGCAACATCGGTTCAGTTTTGTTCCATTTCCTACCAAACCTGCCTCTTCTATAAACGCCACGTCGTTTTCATCAGTTTTAGCTCATTGACCGGTTAGCTGTGTTGCTGAGTGGATCGTTCAATAGTTGTTGCCCCTGTTGCGCCGCTACTTTTATACCTGTGAGTAAAACACCCCATTATACGCAGATTTCTATTGGTAACAAGCGCTAATAAGGTTGATTACACATTTAGCTCACTCGTGGGCCTCCTTTAGGAGTTACACTGTGGACGAATGTTTACTGTTGCATTAGGCTTAATGTTAATAACAATTTTGATATTTTAAGATTGAAAATATTATTACTTTTCAATTCTGGTAATTGATATACAGTTTTTTTATGCATAAAAAACACAAGCTCGTGTTAAACATTGGACTTGTTTGCTTCTACTGCATATTGATTTCTATTGAAAGCGAGCTCATTTAATTGCACCTATTTGCCTTTCAATGACTCAGCGCTCCATTCACTTTGCCATTTATTCCCATTTCAAAATTAATGAAACTATGTGGATTTTTTAAATTAATTCCAGCACACATTCGGCATTTTTGAATGGTTGTAATAAGTTACAGGGAACTTATCAGCTGCACCAGTTTAATCGGCATTATTTGACTTTTTGATCCCACTTTAGCTAAAAATACGCGGAAACCGTGCCTTATTTTTCTTTATCTATTGCCTATGTGAATTATTTATTGAATAAAGCCCTGGCTGGGATTATTGATTTACAAGCTTTAGGTATTAATCGCATGATATAATAGATAAGATATTACATCTGATGGAGGCATTCTTTGCTTATTGGGCGATTAGGGATTTATTTTTTAATTAGATACTGGCTTTCCAAAATATTCTTACTCTGCAGTAAATGTGCGAACCTAAAGTTGCTTTTGAATATGTTTTAGCAAAAAACCCGGCATTAATCTAATGACGAATGCCTAACAATTAGCTGTAATTGTGTGGTCGCACTTGACTGCCTTTATTAATCACTTTGCAGCAAACTAGGCGAGCATGACTAATAAACGTTAATAATTTTTCTCATTTTCAGAACGGAAAAATCATGTCCCTAGACGAGGTACGAGCAATCCTTCCACCAGTCTTAGACGATTAATTGATACGATTTTTTTGTTGGCAGCGTTTCAACAAAGCAGCCGAAGATGTTAAGGCCTTGAAATCCAAACCGACAGACAATGATCTTTTGGAACTTTACGCTCTCTTCAAGCAAGGAACAGTCGGCGATGTAAACACTTGTAAGTGTGGTCCTGAAATCATTAGTTTGCATGCTTCACTAATCATTCAGTTCGGGCATTTGCCGTTTTCTAGATCTTGTTCTTCGCCAAACTCCACACTTTGCCACAAACATTGATTTTACATTTTAAACAACTTCAACATCTGTTTGTTTAGTATTTTGTTCTGGTGGGTTTGTATCATCATTAATTTTGCCTTGTATATACTTTCCTGACTGTGTTTCAATTCCAAATCAAATTCATTCCTGGGTTTCAGTCATTTATTGTCTCTATTTATCAGAGTTTCTGATGAGTGCGAAACCGGAAAACGCCCGCAGATCAAACGCCTTTTTGTTAGTCAAATGATGTATTTAATTTAGCACTAGAAAAGAACC